AAAATCTCAAAATCTCAAAATGCCAAAATGTCAAAATCTCAAAATTTCAAAACATCAAAATTTCAACATTTCAAAATGTCAAAATTTCACAATGTCAAAATCTCAAAATTTCAAAATGTCAAAATGTCAAAACATCGAAATGTCAAAATTTCACAATGTCAAAATTTCACAATGTCAAAATTTCAAAATTTCAAAACATCAAAGTGTCAAAATCTCAAAATTTCAAAATGTCAAAATGTCAAAATCTCAAAATTTCAAAATCTCAAAATTTCAAAATGTCAGTGTCAAAACATCGAAATTTCAAAATTTCAAAATGTCAAAATTTAAAAATGTCAAAATCTCAAAATTTCAAAATTTCAAAACATCAAAGTGTCAAAATGTCAAAATTTCAAAATGTCAAAATGTCAAAATCTCAAAATTTCAAAATGTCAAAATGTCAAAAAGTCAAAATGTCAAATTGTCAAAATGTCAGTGTCAAAATTTCAAAATTTCAAAACATCAAAGTGTCAAAATGCCAAAATCTCAAAATCTCAAAATGCCAAAATTTCAAAATGTCAAAACATCGAAATTTCAAAATTTCAAAATGTCAAAATTTCAAAAAGTCAAAACATCAAAGTGTCAAAATCTCAAAATCTCAAAATGCCAAAATGTCAAAATCTCAAAATTTCAAAACCCCCCCGCAGCTCGGACCGCCAAGGCTCCCTCCGTCTCCGTCTTCCCGCCGCCGGCCGAGCAGCTGGCGACGCAGGAGCGCGCCACCCTCACCTGCCTGATCCAGGGCTTCGACCCCCCTGACCTCTTCGTCCGCTGGCTCCGCGACGGCGAACCCCTCCCTCCGTCCGCCTCCGTCACCTTCCCCCCGCTGCCGGACGCTTCGGGTTCCGCCTTCGTCACCTACAGCTCGTTAGCGGTCTCCAGCCAGGAGTGGGGGACCGGGAGCGTCTTCACCTGCGTCGTGGGGCACGAGCGCCTCCCGCTGCAGCTGCTCCAAAAATCCCTGGACAAGGCTTCGGGTAGAGCCGCCAACGTCAGCGTCTCCCTCGTCCTGGCCGACGCCGCCGGGACCTGCTACTGATTAAATTCTTCCCACCTCATTTACGGCCTCCGGGTGCTTTGTCCCAAATTTTCCAACGTTTGCCCCAAAATTTCACCACTTTCTAGTGATTTTCTGCAAGTTTTCCCCTAATTTTCCCAAATTCTCCCAAATTTTCCCCAATTTTCCAAAAATGATCGCCACTTTCTGCAATTGTTTTCTGCAATTTTTCTCAAATTTTCCAAGATTTTCCCCAAATGTTCCCCAAATTTTCACCAGATTGTCACCTCTTTTGAAATATTTTCCCAAATTCTCCCAAATTTTCCAAAAATTTCCCCAATTTTTCATCACTTTTAAAATATTTTCTGCAAAGTTTCCCGAATTTTCCAAGATTTTCCCCAAATTTTCCCCAGATTTTCACCAGATTGTCACCTCTTTTGAAATATTTTCCAAAATTTCCCAAATTTTCTGAAAATTTCCCAAATTTTCCCAAATTTTCACCACTTTTTAGCCATTTTCTGCAAATTTTTCCCAATTTTCCAACATCTTCCCCCAAATTTTCACCACTTTCAGAAAAATTTCCCCAAATTTTCACCATTTTTGGAAAATTTTCCCAAACTTTCCCAAATTTTCCCAATTTCCCCCAATTTTCCCCCACCTTTTAGTGATTTTCTGCAAATTTAGCCAAATTATCCCAAATTTCACAATTTTTCCCAATTTTTCCCCGATTTTTACCCACTTAGTAGCCATTTTCCCTAATTTTCCCAAATTTTACAAATTTTCCCCAAGTTTTCATGATTTTCTGCAAATTTTCCCAATTTTTCACAAATTTTCCAAAAGTTTCCCCAAATTTTCCCAAATTTCCCCAAATTGTCACCGCTTTCAAATATTTTCTGCAAATTTTCCCAAATTTTAAAAAATTTCCAAAGTTTTCCCACTTATTAGCCATTTTCAACAAATTTTCCCCACTTTTCCCCATTTCCCGACGCCGCCGGGACCTGCTACTGATTAAATTCTTCCCACCTCATTTATGGCCTCCGGGTGCTTTGTCCCAAATTTTCCAACGTTTGCCCCAAAATTTCACCACTTTCTAGTGATTTTCTGCAAGTTTTCCCCTAATTTTCCCAAATTCTCCCAAATTTTCTGAAAATTTTCCAAAATTTTAACAAATTTTCCAAAAATGATCACCACTTTCAAAATGTTTTCTGCAATTTTTCCCAAATTTGCCAAGATTTTCCCCAAATTTTCCCCAGATTTTCACCAGATTGTCACCTCTTTTGAAATATTTTCCCAAATTATCCCAAATTTTCCCAAATTTTCCCCAATTATCCAAAGATGATCGCCACTTTCAAAATGTTTTCCCC